AAATGAGATGTTTATCATGTATTTGATTGTGTTTATTTGCAGTTAGTTACACGAATTCAGATATGGGATGAAATCGGATAGGGATGAACGGGTTTAAGAGTTTTTAAGAGTTTAAGAGTTTTAAGAGTTTAAGAGTTTAAGAGTTTTTAAGAGTTTTAGTCAAATGTTTTATAATATAGTATAGATTATTACCCATAAATAAATAATTTAATTCATAAATAATATATTTAGTTATAGAAATTAAATATCAATTTAACAAAAATATATTTAATTATAGAAAATAATATTTTTTAATCCCTCATTTATGAGTGATTTTTGGTTTTTGTTCCTAAAGTATATTGGTGGTCAATTTTTTGTATTTTGAAGCCCAAAAACATCATTATGGGTTGAGTTGATTAAGTTGAAGACATTTGAACAATTTAATCCAATGCTTGCGATTTGAAAATTTTTAACCCAACTCAACCCAAACCAAAGTACAACCCAACCCAACCCATACGGGTTGGTCGGATTGATACTTTGGTACAATAACATATTCTTCTAACCTTTAATATGTTATTTATCTACTCATAATTTCTTTTTCATCATCAACCATTTGATACAACTAATCCATATTTCTTATATATATCAAATCCAATTAATTTTCTCAATTTATGTATATATGTTTAAAGTTACTGAACATATATACGAAAGAGTTATATAGAGATGTGAATAAATTGAAAATATATGTACATGAAAAGCATACATGATAGTGTAATTGTCTAATATATATATATATATATATATATATATATATATTAATAGAAATTCAATAATCATACTAAATCCAAAAAATAAAAGGATATCAGGTTCATCGGGTTGGGTTGGGTTCAAATAATAGTAACTCAATATCAACCCAATACCTACGGTTTGACAATTTTACAACTGGATTAGACATCGGGTTGCTTCAAGTTGGGTTATTTTCTGTTGGGTTGGATTGATCGGGTTGGTCGGGTTTTTGAGCACCCCTACATACAGTCACGTCAGCTAGAGTATAGTTGCGAGTTTCTCTTTTCATTAAGTAGCCCCTCATTGCCCTTCACGAGAAAGGGCAATTTGATCCTTTTACCCATCTTCATCCTCACCATCGTCATCTACCGCCGTCCCAACGGTCCACCATCCACCACTCACCCACTGCCCTTCACCCACCACCACTACCACTCATAGCAAAATCTGTATGCACATTCAAAACATCTAAAAAAAAAAACTATAACGCCCAAAAAAATGGGACTACCAAGTTTTCAAAAATAAACCAGAAATATGGTATATAAATATCAAAATACGAGCTCACCCAAAAAGGGAAACTTAAATACGCTAGTTAATTACATTGAGTAACAAATGGGTTTGAGGATAACAACTTCCTAATCTAATTCCTTAAAAGAATATTACAATCGAGTGTCACCTAAACCATTAAAATACGAACTTAATAGATGACATCTCAAAATGCTCCCTTAAAGCTCTCTAAGGAGGCCGGACAACCACCTAAGCAACTTAACCACTAGAATCTGAGATACATGCCAATAAGAACAAGAGTTAGGCTTAAAAGTCCAGTGAGTTTGAACACAGTTTATGCAATCATAAGTAGTGGGAAGATATCAATTTATTAACCAAACAGGAGTTATATAAGCGTATTCAAAACTTCACATATACCATCCTTTTCGAAACAACGGGGGAGACCTATATCCTTTAAGAGTGGCGGGAACACAAAAGTATGTCTTTCATCCAATGATGTTCCTTCTACCATATTTAAGCATGGAGTCCAAGTGTCCAATAGCCGTTAATAAGTTTCACCTCAAGATAGGTTGACCTTAGTGTCTATTCCCATGAATAACACATCAAGGCTCAGACATACTTAGTGCCTACTTCCAAGGTAACACCTCAAGCTCAGACATACTGTGGCCCTTAAATTCACCCTAACGAACTTAATGACGAGTCAAAGAGGTAGGGATAAGAAATAACTGAAGATAAATGCTGAAAATCGAGACTTTGTGGACCAATGGTTGTACATGACCTGGCTGGCACGACCCAGGTCGAGTTCTGTCCACGTTTCACACATGGGGCCATTCTTTTATGGTTCTAGAAAGCTAAAAAAATGCTAAACCGTGAGGGAACCCGATCCACCTGTCCTGGTCAGGACGGGGATTCCCCGCAAAACCATGTATTGGGACAGGACGGGGATCTCCGTTTGGCTCAAACTGGGGATAGGCCGAAGACGGGTATCGCACTCCCCGTACCCATATATATATATATATATATATATATATATATTCTTTAATACATTAAGTTATATATTATTATTTCCACTAAATTGGTAATATTCCTATTTCGATGTGTTGAATATTACTCGATATGTTTTGGTACGTATGATGTTAAGTTGTTTTTGGATTAATTTTTTTTCGCTTTAGGTTTATTAATTATTATATGATGATGTGATTTTTTTGTATTAAATTAATTTTCTTTTGTTTTTAGGTTTATTGAAAATATGTGAGAGATATAAAATAACTTACATAAACGGGAAAAAAAATCATCATTTCCCCGTTGGAGATCCCCGTCCCTGTTGGGAACGGGGATAGGGATGTGATCAAATTCCCCAGCGGGTACAAGGACAGGAATGGGGTCCTCCCCCATTCTCATGCCTACTCTATACAAACGTAACTTGAAAACTAGATTTTTCTTCCACGGGGAAGGGGGTAGTTTCACCCGGTTCAACAGGATGAGGAGAGGAGGGGGTTTTACGTCCTTAATTCTAGTGAATGCTTCTGTACGTCAAAGAAGAAAGCTATATCGATGGATTTGCAGCCAAAGAAGGGTGAGGCAATGGTGGACGTGAATATGATCTTCAATAGACTTCAAAGATTTGGATGCTTTGTTGCCAGGGTTCGCCAGAGAAAGGAAGTTGAGGGGTGGGGTAGGATTTCGAGGAGCGATTTATGCAAGTTCGGGGGTAGAGGAAGAGTTTTATAGAGAGAAGGTTTGGGGGGACAGTTTCATGGAAAGGATAGTCTTTTCATTTATTTATTTTATAATAAAAATATTAATATAGCTTTTAATTTTTCTAAAATAAATTAAAAGTAAGCGTCAAGATGAAAATGCCCCACACTTGAGGGGCATATGACCGACTTAACGAAGCCAACGGTGTTAGGAGGAGGGATTAACTTGGGCTTTGAAACACGAAAAGTGGACCAAAAATTTACTTAACGAATTGTAGGGA